TATTCAGGGCTTCTTCCCTTTCCATATAAAGTTAATGATTAGTTTTTCCATCTCTTTGAAGAATGTTGTTGGTATTTGGATCGGGATTGCGTTGTATTTGTAAATTGCTTTGGGTAGAATTGAATTTTCACAATGTTGAGTCTCAAGGCAGACATTCTTTGCTAATTAAGCTATTGTTTGGTTTTGAGAAAAGTTCAGAGGATATTTTTGGTTTAAGGTTTAAAGATTATCTCAGGGCAAAAGCTTCAGGGTTTCATCTTCACTTAAGCTTAAGCTATTTTGTTACATTTGCCTCTCGTGAGTAAACAGTTAAATTAAGACTGCAAAGAGGATTTAGATAGGTCCTAGAGGACTAGAGAGGTTGGCCTTTTTTCTGTAGCTTGTGGAAGTCGCTGGATTTCACCCAACAAGTGACACAGAGTGCTGCTCAGTCATGGGGCCAGTGATGGATTAGACTGGGAAGTTATTGAAGTAATTCAAGTTGTCAAAAACCCAAATGCTTAGAGAAACACCAAAAATTAGCGTGGCAGAATGTATTTATTGTGAGTAAATATGATTCGAATTAGGCAGCATAAACATATCAGAAAGAGGCCTCAAAGAGGGGACTGTGAGAGCAGGTGATATAGGTCATTGTTATGTTAATTTCTCAAGGAGACAGCATCAAAGCACAGTGCAGGGTTTCAGAGTCAGTGGGTTATAGAAACAGAGTCACCAAGAACATTTTATACATCCTAAAACCCAGTCTCTAGTCAGACCCTGGAGTTCCTGCTTCTAGAAGTTGGCTGCAAATAGATAATTTTCCAAAAGAACCCAACGCCTAAGGCAAAAATTTCTCCACTAAGCTGCTTACTAGACTGTTGTTTGACTTTAAGGTGACTTGAGAGAACACCTTCCTTAAAGGCTTTAGGTTCAAAAGGACGCCTGAAGGCAAATGGCCTTGGTGGATCACCTCAATTCCGTGAACCCAGAAATCTGGATTCCAGGAGAATTAAAACAGTTTTGTCAAGGTGTTAGGACTTGAACTAGGGTAGTAGTGATGGAAGTTGAATGTAAATGATAAATGCAAGAAATACGGCAGATGTAAATGAACAACACAGTGTCTTTTGCAATTGTCAAGTTCTTTTAGTAAATACTGGTAGCCTTCAACAACTAAAGATTGATGAGAGCTGCATGTCTCCTCTCCTGATACTAGGTGATGTCCTATAATGGAGGCAAGCCTCAGATTGAATGCCAGTACACACCCACCCACTGCTGTTGAGTCGATTCCCAGTCATAGAGACCCCACAGGGTTTCCAAGGCTGTCAGTCTCTGGGGAAGCAGACTGCCACATCTTTCTCCTGCAGAGCCGCTGGTGGCTTTGAACCACTGACCTTTTGGTTAGCAGTCAATTGCTTTAACCACTGAGCCACCAGGGCTCCTTATTTTTTAGCAAGTAGGCACAAAAACAGCTATACAATTGTTCTGTAAATACGTTGAAGTCCTTTTTCTCTGTTGTTTTAGGCATCCTGAATGAAAAGTTTACTCTGAAGCAAACGTGACACTTGTATCATGTAACAGAATCCTCTTTTTTGTGGCAAAGGACGAAACATCTGTCTAGACTCAGGGAGCCATTCTGAGGCTATCAGTCAGCTAGACTCAGAAGATTTTTATACCACATTTATGCAAGGGCAGAGGTGCCTGTACAGTATTTTTAGTCAGACATGTATCTCTCATTTCCACAATGAAAAATTATTTCTAATCCTTTATGCTAATTATCGAACGTCTAGTGCAGACTTATATAGTGATATTTGAATCACTTGTGCATCCGACTCTGTAGTGAGGATTCCTGATTAGTCCCTTTCAAATACTAATTAACCACCCTGGAGTGTGCAGATTAAAGTTAACTTTCAAACGCATACATATCCCACTGAAGTAGTCTAAAGTATACTGAAAAGATAACAAGCATCAAAAAATGGCTTCAAGGTCACAAGGCAGAACATATTTGAGGTAGAAGATGAAACAGCACTGTTTTAATGAGGAGTCTTGTGGTGAGCCACAGAAAACAACTGTGGCAGATTTAAGCAGAAAAGAAATTAAAGGATAGTGGGTAGCTCAGGAGTTCCTGGGTGATGCAAATGGTTAAGCACTCAACTACTAGCTGAAAGGTTGGTGGTTCTAATCCACCCAGAGGTGCTTCAGAAGAAAGGCCTGGCGATCTGCTTCCGAAAGGTCATAGCCTTGAAAACCCCATGGAGCAGTTCTACTCTGCACACATGGGGTTGTCATAAGTTGGAATCAACGCTACAGCAACTAACGGTAGCTCAGAGAATTGCAGGAGATTGAGGCTTGGATCTACATGGCCAGAGATTACAACCAAAAACCAGGCAATAGAGCTGTTCCAGAGAGGACTCCATGGTTGCTGTTGCCAAGTACAGGCATTTTGTACCACTGACACCACTATACTAGATGCTGGATACCACCACAAGACCCACTCTCACTACTGTGGCAGGAGTTTATCTTGCGACACTCCTGCAGTTTCCCCAAGGAGCATGACTTTCTGTGCCTGCTTTTTTGAGTCACTAGATTCCAGCTGGTGCACATGATTGATTGAGCAAGTATTTGGCATTTCAACTTCAGTCACTAGGCTCTTAAGGTGGGGAATTCCCCAAACATGGAAGGGGGGTTCAAAACAAAACAAAACTGTATATATATATATATATATATATATATATAGAATGTTGTTGTTGTTGTTAGGTGCCAGAGTCGCTTCCGACTCATACTGACCCTGTGTACAACAGAACGAGACACTGCCTGGTCCCGCGCCGTCCTCACAATCCTTGCTATGTTTGAGCCCATTGTTGCAGCCACTGTGTCAATCCATCTCGTTGAGTGTCTTCCTCTGTTACACTGACCTTCTACTTTACCAAGCATGATGTCCTTCTCCAGGGACTGGTCCCTTCTGATAACATGTCCAAAGTATGTGAGATGAAGTCACACCATCCTTGCTTCTAAGAAGCCTTCTGGTTGTACTTCTTCCAAGACAGATTCGTTTGTTCTTCTGGCAGTCCATAGTATATTCAATAATCTTCTCCAACACCATAATTCAAATGAATTAATTCTTCTTCAGTCTTCCTTATTCATTGTCCAGCTTCATATGCATATGAGGCAATTTAAAATACCATGGCTTGGGTCAGGCAAACCTTAGCCCTCAAAGTAACATCTTTGCTTTTTAACGCTTTAAAGCGGTCTTTGGCAGCAGATTTGCCCAATGCAGTACGTCCTTTGATTTCTTCACTGCTGCTCTATAGGCATTGATTGTGGATACAAGTAAAATGAAATATATGGAATATATATGTATATATATTCAATGTAATTGAATTGGAAGTGATGACAATATGTAGAAATATCGAACAAGTAGTTGGAAATATGACATTGGTATTCCCCAGAGAGCCAAAGCTACAGATTTGAGAGTTTGGTAGTAGTGATCACATTTACAGTTAGCATGGAGTTTGGAAAAAATCTAACTCAAACTTTCATCTACATATGGGAATCTAGAATGGTTCATCCCTGTGGCTGTGCTGCCCACCCCACCCCTATCATTTGTTAAATGGAAAATTGCACTGATTAGGAGAAACAGGACAAATATAAAGATAACTCTAATACATGATAAGGAGCCCTGCTAGTGCAATGGTTAAGCGGTCAGCTGCTAACCGGAAGGTCGTTAGTTCAAACTTACCAGCCACTCTGCAGGAGAAATGACTTGGCAATATGCTCCTGTAAAGATTACAGACTAAGAAACCCTGTCACATGGTGTGGCTATGAGTCTGCATGGACTCTACTGGACTCAACAACAACAGTACAAGATTAAGTGGGAGGAGAGAAGAAAACTAGTGACTGTCGAGGGCCTATTATGTACTAAATATTTAAGTGCCAACTATGTATAACTACGGATCAGTTACTATGCGAGGATTACTTAATGCTAAACAAAACCAGGCAGTGTCTCTGCATTTGAGGAAATGAAAGCAGGCTGGGTGCAGAGAGCTAGGGGAGTCTGGTGGGAGGTCCAGTTGGAAGCAAAAAGGGGCCAGACTACACAACTTCTTGTCTATACCTAGAAAAGAATTTTGGAAAACCACCTAAGAGTTTTGAGGATTTCTTAGAGACATGAGCTCATTCAATCCTTACAACAATCCTGTAAGGTATGTATTATAAGCGTGCTATTTACATGTAAGGAACTGGGGCTCACAGAGGCTAACTGTCCTGCCTATGCAGTAGGAAATGATGGTGGGGTTAGAAGGCGCAGGCGGGCCGGCAGGGCTTCTTGGAGAGGAAAAGGAAGCTCAGACTTGAGTGGCCTACCCTATACTAACAAAAAAAAAAAAAAAAAAAATTATCACTGAATATTCACAACAACTTTGCAAGGAAGGTTTTGTTATTTTATTTTATAGCTGGAGAAACCGAGATTATACATAGATAGGAAGGCGAGGAACCAGGATTCAAATCCCAAGACTATCCCAGTTCTACAGCCATGATGAAACACTGCTTCCCAGTATCTTCTTCCGTGTATTCAGTGCGTTCAGAATACAAATGAGAATCGTCCCTAGAGACTGAAGGACCCTGAGGATAGGAGTCTGGTGAAAGTGTAAGAGTTGGGGTGGGAAGGGGGCATGGATGACCAAGGCTGGAGGAGCGAAGTGTTCTCCACGGAGTGAAGGCCCAGGTAGTGGATTAAAGGGAGACTTAATAAGAAAAGCAGGCTGGGCCCAGACGAGAAGGGCTCAGAAGGCGAGCCTGAGGGGCTTGGGCTTTAGCTAGTCAATGGGCACACAGCTATGTATTAAAAAGCAGCAAAGCCTCCGCAGTATTTACAGTCCACGTGGGGAAGTCCCGCCCATCCTGCCCCAGTTTCGGTCCAGCTGGAGGCAGCGGCCTGGACGTTTGATGAATACGGACAGCCTGATCCTTGCTTGTCTTTCCGCTCCTATTCCTCGCCCCTGATGCCAGGTCCCGGGAGCCAGCGGAGGCCTGGGGTCACCCAGCGGCGGGGTGGAGCCGCTCGCGCCCACGCACGGCCGGACGCACCTGGCTTCGCGGCCCAGCGGCTGGTTAGAGCGGGGAGGGAGGCCGTGATGAGGACCGGCCTCGGCAAGGAAGCGCACTAGGCAGTTTGGCCCCGGCAGCGTTCCGTACCGCTGCGGATTCGGCGGCGGGAACATGGCGGCCGCGGCAGTGCCGGTAACGGAGAAAGTTTCTAGCGAGACTGGCCTGTGCTAGTGCCCGTGGCCTCGGGACACTGATCCCCCTGGCGTGCCGTCTCCCCTCTCCGAGCCGCAGGCTCAGTCCCAAGGTCCCCCTTTACTCAGTTGGCCCCGGAATAGACTCCGAGGCTTGAGGAAGCGTTGGTGGTGGCGGCCGAGTCAGGTAGGGGGGCCACGGGGTGAACGGCCGTGCAGCGAGACCCTTGCACAGACACCGCCCAGGGCTCGGCTTGGTCCGGGCCCCAAGCTCCGCCCAGCTGGCCTCGGGGCGGGGGAAGGGATACCTGCCCCGAGAGAAGTTGACGGTGGGGGCGGAAGGATGTCGGGGCGCGTGCTTTATGCCCCAAGGTTCCCCTCTCAGCTTGGCGCCCCGTTGTGGTCGCTTCTCCCGTAGTACAGGGGGGTATCGAGGACAACCAGGCTGTATTTCAGGCCTCCCCACCTGTCCCTAGAAGGAGGGAGAATGGGAGAAAAATGGCTATTGCTGCGCTATTGCTGAGAGATTTAATATTTAAGGTGCCATTCTCCTCGTATAAGATGATCCCAGAAGTTATTATCTTGAGTTCAAGTAGAACTGAAGCAGTGGAATTTCCCGACCCTGGCTTCTCAGTATCTTTCAGCTTTTGCCACTTCCCCTAGATGGGACAGAAATAGTTTCTTAGTCGAAAGATGATGCAAATGATATGGTGTGGCTTGGACAACTTAGTGAGCCATTCCCTAGAGGTAGGGCACGGAATGAGACATTACTGGTTTGGAGGAATTTGGGTGAAGCTGTAACTGTGAAGGCTGGAGTAAGTCCGAGAGAGAAACAGCAACCACTCACTCATGGAATTTCCCATAGCTTTACTGTTTATTAGCTGTGGGATATTAGATGAGTTATTTATCCTCATTGTGCATTAATAATTGATAACTGAGAACCATTATTATTAAATGTACTTATTTCTGTATTAGTCTTTTATTTCTTCAAGTATTTGTTGAATGCCTGCTTCATGCCAGACTTTCTACTAGACCCTGGGAATTCAGCATTGAAGACAGACCCTCAGAGACCTTGTGATCTAGTGGGGGAGTGCAGGCATTAAACAAGTGATGATGAATATTTTGCTTTTATAGAGGAAGTAGGAGTCATATAATGAGTCAGGGGAGACCTCCCTAAAACAATAATTTCAGCTGAGACTTGAAGAGTAGGAGTAAGCCTGGTGTGAGAAGTAGCGTGGGGCCAGGTGGAGGGAAAGGAGTGTACCTAGAGAGGGAGTAGCATTTTTGCAGTTCAGAATTGCAGGTCAGTATGGCTGGAATACAAGTGTGAGAGGAAGAATGGTAAGAGATGAGGCAGGAGAGTTAGTGAGGTCAAAAGTGGAAGACTTTGTAAAGCATGTTAAGAGTTTAGACTTTATCACTCAGGGTGATGGGAAACCATTGGAGGACTTTACACAGCAGTGACGTGACAGATTTTGGTTTTAAAAAGAGCACTTCTTGCAGAAGGACAAGAGTGGATACAGGGAGACGTTCAAGCTGGAGATGGTGGCCAAAACTAGGATAATGACCTTGGTGATGAGAAGTAGAAACGTTTAAGAGGTGTTTAGGAAGTAGAATGAACAGGACTTGAGGATTAAATGCAGGAAGTGACAGAGAAGAGGGTTAGAGTAGTATATGAGGTTTCATGTCAGTTATTAGTTAATGTTTCCTGTATGTAGATTGACTCTTCTGTGCTCTATACAGACACACTTTTATCTGCCTCTCAAGTAATTTCCCATGGAAGAATCATAAATGATGGCAGACCAATTGAAAAGGATTGTAATGCTTGCTTTGGTCTCTGATTTAGGCTATTTGTCTTTTAAACAGTTCAGAGTGGGGAAAGACTTTTGTAAATTGGCCATTAAAAACAATTATTTTCCAAATTGTTTTTTGCTCATTAGAAGGTGGCATCATATATTCCATGATATAGATGTATCATACTTTATTATTTACACGTTTACATTTACTTTGTTTCCAGGTTTTTGCCTCTACAAAGAGTGCAGAACAGAGCCGTTGCCTTTATTCCTATTGGGTAAATTAATGTATGTGTGTAAATAGAGGGATAGTAATTGAAGACATGGAAGTAGATGAGATTGCTCAGAGAAAGTGTGTAGCGAGAGAAGAGCCTCGGCTTAGGAGCAAATATCCAAAGATAGGTTGAGAATGGAGAACCTGTAAGGAGACTGAGAAGGAGAGACTAATGAGTTAGAAAGAAAATCTCAAGACTAGTCCTTAGAAGCCAAGGGAAGCAAAGGTTTTAGAAGGTAGGAGGAGTTATTCTTTAAACAACCGTGTCAACGGTTGTTTGAAGAATGAGCAGAAAAGGAGTAAAAGGTGCCAGCTGGATTTAGGAATGTACAAGTCATTTCAGACCTTGACAGAGCAGTTTACCATTTTGTGTTGGGAACCACTGTTTAGTGGTTTGAGAAGTGAGTGGGTGAGAAGTGAAGCAGCCAAATATTAGCTGTCAAGAGAAGGATAGAAGATTGAACCTGGAAGAGGAGATGGGGATGAGGAAGTGTTGTGTTTGTTTCTGGGTTTTGTTTTTTTCTTTTTTGGATCGTTTCAAAAAAGAGATTTACAAATGTTTAAGTGCTAATGGATAAGAACTAGAGCAGAGGGAGAGTTTGAAGAGAAAGGAGGGAGAGTGAGGTTCTGGAGGAGGCAGAAGGGAAGGAGATACATAGTACGGCCAAAAGATTTTCCCTTAGATAGGAAAGGGACATCCTTCTTTCCTTGTATCAGGAAATGTTGGTAGAGGTGGATTTGTAGTGTTGGAAACTCAGGTTAACTCCCTTCTGATGACTCTGTAGGAGGCAAAGTCATTTGGTGAGAATGTGGTGGGAAGTGGGGTCGGGTGTGAGGAGAGGGAAAAGAGGTTTGAATAGCACGGAGAATGGTGAAGTGTTGACCAGGGAAACAAGAAGGATGCCTCATAAGTTTAGAGTGTTCAGTAGTCTGAACTAAGACGGTACCATCAGCCCTTTGAGGATATGTATTCCAACACGTTTGTTGAATGATTACATAACATACAGGAGTGATATTTTTAAAAGAATTCTGTGCACTACAGATTATCATTCTCACACTTAAGTAAAAGATAAACCAAACTATGCCAAAGGAAGACATTTTTTTAAAGAGTGTGGTATCTGGTGGCACAGTGGTTAAGAGCTCAGCTGCTAACTAAACGGTCGGCGGTTCGAATCCACCAGCCCCCCCTTGGTAACCCTATGGGGCAGTTCTGCTGTGTCCTAGAGGGTGGCCATGAGTCAGAATCGACTTGACAGCAATGGGTTTGGTTTTGAGTGTTTTGGTGTGGTATCTTTAGTAAGAAAATACTGAATGAAAATGCAATTGAGGAAAATCAATTAGAATACTTAGATAATTAGATTTAGCTTTAAAAATATGCTTGTTGAACTTATAGAAGTAGAGTTAGTAATGACACTTAGAACCCATCAGAGACCCTTAAGTTGATTCAATGACATTCTTCTCCAGCTTAGTGGGTAATTTAGGGTTAATTTCAAGGTTGTATGATTGTTGGGTCTTCCTTTTAGCATCCTGTTTTTAAGAAAGTATATATAAACTGATCACAGTTTCTTTTTGAATTTTTATCTGGTTGAGTTCTCCTGGGATATTCACTGTGACCATAGCTGTTATAATAGATCAGTTTTTCTGAAGCAGTATGCCAGAAAATTTTGAAGAATTATCTCATAGATAGCTAGATAATTTTTGAATAGTAATATTTTTTAAATAATATTTTGGTTTATCTTTTACTTAAGTGTGAGGAAATGATAATCTGGAGTGCACTGAATTTTTTTTTTAATATCACACCTATATCAACATTATCATGTTTTAAGTGTAACTCATGGACTTGCTTACCAGTATCAGTGTGTACTTAAGGTTGTAATAATTATCTGGGTCCTCTAACAGATAATCAGTGTGGTAAGTTGTTTGTTTTTTTGAGTAGAATTCTAAAGGTCTTAATTTACTTTATAATAACTATTGGTCAGCATTCCTGTTCCTGTATTTGGATTTTGACTGGCAAGTTCAGGAATTGGTTTGCTACAGAGAGATTAGATTTGGAAAGAAGGTTTGGTAAAGAAATTTATTATACTAGAGGTAAAAGTACAGGGAGAATTATGGTCAGCATTAGAGACTGAGTTAACTTTAATGCAATTAAACTTTACTTCTAGTAAGTTTATTAAACATTGTAAAGACTAAGAATTTATAGTATTTTAGAGCTACTTGTAAAAAAAGAGCCCTGGTGATGCAGTGGTTAAGAGCTCAGCTGCTAACCAAAAGGTCAGCAGTTCAAATCTACCAGCCACCCTTTGGAAGCTCTACAGGGCAGTTCTACTCTGTCCTATAAGGTTGCTATGAGATGACAACAGGTTTGGTTTGGGTTTTTTTTTTTTTTTTTTTGTGAAAAAGGATTTTAGGCAGGTAGTAATGGTCACTATTACTGTAAAATGGTGCTTTTCAAATTAGAAGTAATGATGAAGTTACTCATTCCATGTAAGAGCTGAGTAGATTTCAATCATGCCAGAGCCATCTGCTACAATCTAAGCTAAGTTCAACATCTCATATCTGCATGATGTTGGAAAACCAGATATTAGAATAAGAATGGATTAGGTGAATTCTTCGCCATGTCCAGAAGAACAGTTCCATTGATGGTGGTTTCATCATGCAGTCTTAGTATACGATGAGTAGAAGGCACATGCTCGTTTGGGTAAACTACCAAGTTTTTAAGCCAGAGGCACTTATCATTAAGATATATGCAAATGCAGATTTTAAATTGGGTTTCTGTATTTTTCACTTATTATTTTGTACAAGGAGGACGCATATGTGAGCTAAAATGTATAAAATGCACACTGAAATATGATTTTTCTTTTTTTTTTTTTTTAGATCATTATAAACAAAAATTCCACCTGAGAAAATGTTGAAATAGAAGTTACAGATACATCAGATTGGCTGGATGAAATACAAGCAGTTAATTTTTGTAACGTGGGGAGAAAGCCCAAATTGCCAGATTACATGTGTAAATCACTGCGTTACTGCTTTAGTCATTGTCTCTATTTAGCAATGACAAGACTGGAAGAAGTAAATAGAGAAGTGAACATGCATTCTTCAGTGCGGTACCTTGGCTATTTAGCCAGAATCAATTTATTGGTTGCTATATGCTTAGGTCTTTATTTAAGATGGGAAAAAACAGCAAATTCCTTAATTTTGGTCATTTTTATCCTTGGTCTTTTTGTTCTTGGAATTGCCAGCATACTTTATTATTATTTTTCAATGGAAGCAGCAAGTTTAAGTCTCTCCAATCTTTGGTTTGGATTCTTGCTTGGCCTCCTATGTTTTCTTGATAATTCATCCTTTAAAAACGATGTGAAAGAAGAATCAACCAAATATTTGCTTCTAACTTCCATTGTATTAAGGATATTATGTGCTTTGGTAGAGAGAATTTCTGGTTATGTCCGTCATCGACCGACCTTACTTACCACAGTTGAATTTCTGGAGCTTGTTGGATTTGCCATTGCCAGCACAACTATGTTGGTGGAGAAGTCTCTGAGTATCATTTTACTTGTTGTAGCTTTGGCCATGCTGATTATTGACCTGAGAATGAAGTCTTTCCTAGCGATTCCAAACTTAGTTATTTTTGGGGTCTTGTTGTTTTTCTCCTCATTGGAAACTCCCAAAAATCCAGTTGCTTTTGCATGTTTTTTTATTTGCCTGATAACGGATCCTTTCCTTGACATCTATTTTAGTGGACTTTCAGTAACTGAAAGGTGGAAACCCTTTTTGTACCGTGGAAGAATTTGCAGAAGACTTTCTGTCGTTTTCACTGGAATGATTGAGCTTACGTTTTTTATTCTTTCAGCATTTAAACTTAGAGACACTCATCTCTGGTATTTTGTAATACCAGGCTTTTCCATTTTTGGAATTTTCTGGATGATTTGCCATATTATTTTTCTTTTAACTCTTTGGGGATTCCATACCAAATTGAATGACTGCCATAAAGTATATTTTACCCACAGAGCAGATAACAATAGCCTTGATAGAATCATGGCATCCAAAGGGATGCGACATTTTTGCTTAATTTCTGAGCAGTTAATTTTCTTTAGTCTTCTTGCAACAGCGATTTTGGGAGCAGTTTCCTGGCAGGTAAGCTTATGGTTTGTTTATTGTGTTGATGCCTATGTTGTGTGATAAAGTGCTGGCTGCAAAAGTTGAGCCCTTAGAAATGTAATGTCAAGTTCCTAATTTCTAAAGGATATTCTTTTTTGGTGCTTATTTAATTTTGACCATAGAATTGAAGCACTGAATAAATGTTGACAGGATAATTTATTTTTATCTCAGACAAAGTGGAACCAAAATGATAGGAATACTCAGCATGTGACATGTCCCCCATCTCCTGATTGATCATTGGTGAAACACTCATATATCAAAGATCCTTAGAACATTAGCATTTGAAGGGTACTTACAGGTTGTACTCTAAGCCTTTCATTTTATGAATAGGAAACTGAAAGCCAGACAAGACATATCTGGAGTCAGTAGTACTAGCCAGAACCAGGTTGTCTAGTTTCTGTCTAGTCCACGGGTTTCCCCTCTATAGCACATTTTTTTATGTAGCCATTTCTTTGAAGATGATAGATAGATGAACTTGCTCAAATGCAAGTTCAAATTGAAGCTGAAGAAAATTAGAACAAGTCCACGAGAGCCAAAGTATGACCTTAAGTATATCCAACCTGAATTTAGAGACCATCTCAAGAATAGATTTGATGCATTGAACACTAATGGCTGAACATCAGACGAGTTGGTTATGGGATGACATCAAGGACATTAAAAAGACAGGAAAGAAAGAAAAGACCAAAATGGATGTCAGAAGAGACTCTGCAACTTGCTCTTGCACCTAGCGTAGCTAAAGTGAGTGGAAGAAGTGATGAAGTCAAAGAGCTAAACGGAAGATTTCAAAGGGATGCTTGAGAAGACAAAGTAAAGTATTGTAATGACATGTGCAAAGACCTGGAGTTAGAAAACCAAAAGGGAAGAACGTGCTCAACACTTCACAAGCTGAGAGAAAATTCAAGCCTCAAGTTGCAATATTGAAGGATTCTATGGGCAAAACATTGAATGACGCAGGAAGCATCGAAAAAAGATGGAAGGAATACACTGTACCAAAAAGAATTGGTTGACATTCAGTTATTTCAGGAGGTAGTATATGATCAAGAACTGATAGTATTGAAGAAAGAATTCTAAGCTGCACTGAAGGCAGTGATGAAACTGAGGCTCCAGGCATTGACGGAATACCAATTGAGATGTTTCAGCGTCCGGATGCAGCACTGGAGGTGCTTATTTGTCTATGCCAAGAAAGTTGGAAGACAGCTACCTGGCCACCCAACCAGAAGAGATCCATATTCATGCCTATTCCAAAGAAAGGTGATCCAACAGAATGCAGAAATTATTGAAATATTAATATCACACAAAAGTAAAATTTTGCTAAAGATCATTCAAAAACAGTTGCAGCCGTACATCAACAGGGAACTGCCAGAAATTCAAGCTGAATTCAGAAGAGGATGTGGAACGAGGGATATCATTGCAGATGTCAGATGGATCCTGGCTGAAAGCAGAGAATACCAGAAAGATGTTTACCTGTGTTTTATTGACTATACAAAGGCATCTGACTGTGTAGATCATAATATGGATACCATTGCGAAGAATGGGAATTCCAGAACACTTAACTGTGCTCGTGAGGAACCCATACTTAGACCAAGAGGCAATCATTTGAACAGAACAAGGGGATACTGCGTAGTGTGCGTCAGGGTTGTATCCTTTCACCATACTTATTCAATCTGTACGCTGAACAAATAATCAGAGAAGCTGGATTACATGAAGAAGAACGGCATCAGGATAGGAGGAAGACTCATTAACAACCTGTGATTGCAGATGACACAACCTTGCTTGCCGAAAGTGAAGAGGACTTGAAGCACTTACTGATGAAGATCATAGACTGCAGCCTTCAGTATGGATTACACCTCAACATTAAACAGAAATCTTCACAACTGTACCAACAAGCAGCATCATAATAAATGGAGAAAAGATTGACGTTGTCAAGGATTTCATTTTACTTGGATCCGTAGTCAACGCCCATGGAAGCAGCAGTCAAGAAATCGACGCATTGCATTGGGCAAATCTGCTGTAAAAGACATCTCTAGAGTGTTAAAAAGCAAAGGTGTCACCTTGAAGACTAAGGTGCGCCTGATCCAAGCCATGGTATTTTCAGTCGCCTCATATGCATACGAAAGCTGAACGATGAATAAGGAAGACCAAAGAAGAATTGATATATTTGAATTATGATGTTGGGAAAGAAAATTGAATATACCATGGACTGCCAGAGAACGAGTAAATCTGTCTTGGAAGAAGTACAACCAGAATGCTCCTTAGAAGCAAGGATGGTGAGACTTCATTTCACATACTTTGGACATGTTATCGGGAGGGACCAGTCCCTGGAGAAGGACATCATACTTGGTAGAGGGTCAGCTAAAAAGAGGAAGACTCTCAATGAGATGAATTGACACAGTGGCTGCAACAATGGGCTCAGACATAGCAAGGATCTTGAGGATGGCACAGGACCTGGCACTGTTTTGTTCTATTGTATGTAGGGTCATTGTGAGTTGGAACCAACTCAATGGCACCTAACAACAACAACAACAACAACATATAGTTATTAGATGTATTTAAAAAAAAAAATTCTTGCTGTTGATTCACAGCCATGGTGACCCCATGTGTTGCATATGAGGGTCTTAATTACAGATCAGAAAAAATATTTTTTACAATAATTTGCTGCCCACAGTATGTCAGAATAGTCTTGTTTAGATGAAGACATAGAAAGTGTAGGGTTGTAGTTTGTATCTACAGTGTTAACCAAGTCTTCCATTTGAACGTTTATTGGCTAGGCACTATATTCCAGGCACTGTAGTAAGTGCTGAGGATCTAAAGAAGAATAAGAAATTTAATGTCTCTGGCTTTAAAGAAGTCACAGTCTTTAGTTGGAGGGGGAAGAGGGTAGACATGTAAACAAACAGTTGTGATTACGTTGTGACCAATGCTATCATTTGAGTACAACAGGGTGGGATGATCAGCTCTGCTTGTTGCAGTCTCTGCTTTGCATGTTTGTTGCTGCAGACAGTCTCTAGATGTGAATGCTTGAAGGGAGATGTGGGGGACTTTCCTGGCCATGGTCCTTTTTAGTCATTTTGGGCTGGGACAGGGAGGCTGTGTGGAAGTCAATCAAATGATGAAAACACCTTGGGTGTTGCCTGAGTATATCTTCCTCACTGTGTTCTACTTGCCAGTGCTAGGGACTGTCAGAATTATAATTGATGATGATGATGTCGGAAACTATCAAGAGCTCTCCTTCCTCTCCACTGCCACCCCTTAGCTCGTTTCCCAGCCCCAAGTACTTTTTCCTTTTCCGTGTCACCTCATTCACGCCCAACTCCTTTCCAGTCACCAAATCCTATTAACCAAATACTTTCTAAGTCACCAAATTATTTTTCTTTTATGCCAGTGGCCTTCAAATAGGGTACACTTAACACTGGAGGTACACAAAAGCTTTCCATGTCAGTAAAGATGGTTTTAAGGGAATCAGTTTCCAGATCCTCACCTTCCATCCTACCCTTTTCTAAAACAGATCAACTTTAGAAAGTTCCTTAATCTTGGTATGGAGTGGTATCTCATTGTTTTAATTTTCATGTCTGTAATGCCTAATGGTGTTGAGATCTTTTAATGTGAGTTTTAGCCATTCACATATCTTCATTGTTGAAGTATCCAAACTTTTTGCCCATTTTAAAATTTGGGTTATTTGTCTTCTTATTATTAAGTTTTAAGTTTATGTGATACTCTGGATAAAACTTTTTTTTATCAGATATATGATTTAGAAATGTTATCTCCCTGTCTGTAACTTATCTTTTTATTTTCTAATGGTGCCTTTCAAGGAATGAAAGTTTTTAGTTTTATGAAGTCCAATTTATCAACTTTTTCCTTTATGGATTGGGCTTTAGTATCATATCTAAAGTATCTTTGCTTAACCCTAAGTGTCAAAAATTTTTATCCTATGTTTTCTTCAAAAAGTTTTATCACTTTTGTTCTTATATGTAACTGTGTGATCCAGTTTGAGTTGATTTTTGTGTATAGTATGAGGTAAGCATCTGCTTTAATTTGTTTTGTGTTTGCACATGGATGTGTAATTGTTCCAGCACCATTTATTGGAAAGACTATTCTTTCCCCTAAAGAATTGCATTGGCATCTTTGTCCAAAATCAATTAAGTATAAATGTAAGGTTTTATTTCTGAGTTATCTATTCTGTTCCATTGATCTTTATGTCTGTCCTTATGCCAGTACCACACTGTCTGGATTTCTGTAGCTTTATAGTAAGTTTTGACATCAAGAAATGTTAAGACCGCCAACTCTGTTCTTTTTCAAAGTTGTTTTGGCTATTCTGGGTCTTGGGATTTTCACATACATTTTAGGTTCAGTTTGTCCCTTTCTAGGGGAAAAAAACATTGCTGCTATTTTGATAGGGATTGTGTTAAATCCATAGATTAATTTGGAAGCAGTTCCCATCTCCATTTATTTAGATCTTCTTTAATTTTTCTCAGCAATGTTTTGTCATTTCAGTGTACAGGTCTTTTTTTTTTAAATTTATTCTTGAGGAATCGACTCAATGGCAGTGGGTTTTGGTTTATTCCTTTTTAAAAAATATTATTGTGAATGCAATTGTTTTCTCAATTTTATCTTCAGATTTTTGGCTGCTGATATATAGAAATACAGTTGACTTTTATTGATCTGGTATTCTACAACCTTGCTAAACCTGCTTATTAGTTTTAGTAGTTTTTCCACAATTTCTTAGGATTTCCTACATATATATATGTCATCTGCAAGTAAATACAGTTTTATGATGATGATTGTTATGGATTGAATTGTGTCTGCCAATTGTAAATCCTAGCCTCTATGCCTGTAGGTATAATCCCATTTGGGAATGGGTTGTCTTGTTATATTAATGAGGCAGGATTAGTGTAGGTTTGTCTTGAGTCAATCTCTTTTGAGATGTAAAAGAGATTAAACAAGCAAACCAGCAGGCAGAGATGGAGGAAGATAGAGTC